TAAACGGGGAAGTTTTTACTTTGAACGGATCAACGGATCCGCGTCGAGCCCTCCCATTGGCCGGGAGTTTCTGGTGTTCAACCGGCAGCCAATCAGGGCCCTTTTGCGCGGATCCGACGATCCGCGGTGTTCGTTTTTGTTCAGATTTCTCATTACACATCAATCTACCACCAAATCGCTTTTGTATACAAGAAAAAGGTGATGTCCAACTTTTTTCCTCTGATTCAATTTTTATTTTGCACACCATCATAATTTGACAAGATGCACAACATATTCAAAAATTGTAAATTTTTGCACACTTTTTTTGGCACACATTCAGTAATGCCCAACTCACTCAATTTTTCTCCAATTCAAATTTTTTTTTGCACACCATCATAAATTGACAGTATGCACAACATATTCAAAAATTGTAAATTTCTGTAAACTTTTTGTTTCCAGCTTTTCTTAGAGCCCAAATAACATAAACGGGGAAGTTTTTACTTTGAACGGATCAACGGATCCGCGTCGAGCCTTCCCATTGGCCGGGAGTTTCTGGTGTTCAACCGGCAGCCAATCAGGGCCCTTTTGCGCGGATCCGACGATCCGCGGTGTTCGTTTTTGTTCAGATTTCTCATTACACATCAATCTACCACCAAATCGCTTTTGTATACAAGAAAAAGGTGATGTCCAACTTTTTTTCTCTGATTCAATTTTTATTTTGCACACCATCATAATTTGACAAGATGCACAACATATTCAAAAATTGTAAATTTTTGCACACTTTTTTTGGCAAACATTCAGTAATGCCCAACTCACTCAATTTTTCTCTGATTCAAAATTTTTTTTGCACACCATCATAATTTGACAGTATGCACAACATATTCAAAAATTGTAAATTTCTGAAAACTTTTTGTTTCCAGCTTTTCTTAAGGCCCAACTAACATAAACGGGGAAGTTTTTACTTTGAACGGATCAACGGATCCGCGTCAAGCCGTTCGGCGCAGCAGAAGCGTGTCATCCGGGCAGCCAATCCGGGCCCGGGTGCGCGGATCCGACGATCCGCGTCATTCGTTTTTTTCCAGATTTTGTATTCACCATCATTTCAAACTTTGATTATACTTGATTCGTTCAATTCAGGCACGAACCCGCATATCAGTTATTCTGGCATCAAGTAAATATTTGTTAAAAAGAAAGTTTGAATCCTACTGTTTATGTGATGCTGTATTCCATTATGAATCATGCAACACGGTTTAGAAGCCAAAGCAAATTGGAATATGGGTCAGCGGATCCGGATACTCAAGTTTGATTTGCAGAAGTATTATTGCATATCATTTTTGGGGAAATATAGAAGCATCATCTAACATATTGGCCCTGAAAAGGGCCTTTTTCACAACATGAAACACCTCACTTGCTGCTGGTATACTTGGTGACAGCCTTGGTACCTTCAGATACTGCATGTTTTGCAAGTTCACCAGGAAGGAGAAGTCGAACTGCAGTCTGAATTTCCCGACTGGAAATAGTTGAGCGCTTGTTGTATTGGGCTAAGCGGGAAGATTCGCTGGCAATCCTTTCAAAAATGTCATTCACAAAGGAATTCATGATGGACATGGCTTTGCTTGAAATGCCAGTGTCAGGATGAACCTGCTTCAAAACCTTGTAGATGTACACTGCGTAGGACTCCTTACGTTTCTTCCTCTTCTTCTTATCGCCCTTCGCGATGTTCTTCTGGGCCTTTCCGGCTTTCTTAACAGCTTTACCGCTAACTTTGGGAGCCATGGTAGGAATGATGACAACTTGTTGAAGAGCAGCGTATTTATACTAAAGAGATGGATCCGCGGGCCGCACGCCCGTCTGTTCCCGCTCGCGTTAGGCCAATCACAGCAGCGGAACTCGGATCCGGTAGTGCAATGCGACGGCAACGGTGGAGAGCCAAGCCCAACGCTCTGCTGTGATCCGGTGATCCAAAAAATTTAGTCCGCGCACGCCAAGAGTTGAAACAGGAATCATGAGGACGCGCTGCAATGCATCGCATTTATACTCGAGAGACGGATCCGCGCGCCACACGCGCGCCGGTTCCGACTCTGGTTTGGCCAATCATGGCAAGGACACGCGGATCCAGTAGCTCACCGAAACGATGCAGTGGAGAACTAATCTCAACGCTCCGTCGCGGATCCAAATGTTTTCACACAAGGTACAATTTACATTTCGCGGCGTTTTCACGAATTCCGAATTCATTTGAAATAGGTACAAGTTACTGGAAGTTAATACTGACAATTAAAAGATGATGCACAATACAACATTATTACTTCTCAAAATGAATGCGGCAGTTTCAATTGCAAATATTGGCCCTGAAAAGGGCCGTTTGAATATGCTCATCCTGAAGAAGCTCACTTCTGCTTCTCAGTCTTCTTTGGCAAAAGGACTGCCTGTATGTTTGGCAGAACACCACCTTGGGCAATTGTGACCCCACAAAGCAGCTTGTTCAATTCCTCGTCATTGCGGATAGCCAATTGAAGATGTCTTGGAATGATGCGGGTTTTTTTGTTGTCTCTGGCAGCGTTACCAGCCAATTCCAGTACCTCAGCTGCCAAGTACTCCATAACAGCTGCAAGATAAACTGGAGCTCCTGCACCAACGCGTTCGGCGTAATTTCCTTTCCTCAAAAGCCTATGGATGCGTCCAACAGGGAATTGAAGCCCCGCACGGTTGCTGCGGGTCTTGCTCTTCCCCTTAACCTTGCCGCCTTTACCACGATTCGACATGTTTCTTCTTCCACTGCTCGAAACGGAGTGATGGCATGGTTAGGCATTGTGGCGTTTTATATACAAATTGAGCGGATCCGGATCAGCGGAGCCGGGGCACAAACTCATGTCTGGCCGGGAGTCGAGTGCAACCAATGAGCGCACGCGACCCCGGATCCGTTGATCCACCACTTTTGAAAAAATTACAAGGCATGATACAACTTTGATTCCTCAAAAATATTCGAAATATTTTTGCGAAATATTATTGATATTGGCATGAAAATTAATGATTTGGAGTGGAAAATGAATTCAATTGTATTTTGTGGCCCTGAAAAGGGCCGTTTGGAAAGAATGTTGACAGCTTTCAACCGCCAAAACCATACAGAGTACGGCCTTGTCGTTTCAACGCATAAACAACATCCATAGCAGTAACAGTTTTTCTCTTGGCATGCTCAGTATAGGTGACTGCATCTCTGATGACATTCTCCAAGAACACCTTCAGGACACCGCGAGTCTCTTCATATATGAGACCAGAGATACGCTTGACACCACCACGCCTTGCCAATCTACGGATTGCAGGCTTAGTAATACCCTGAATATTATCTCGGAGAACCTTGCGATGACGCTTGGCGCCTCCCTTTCCAAGTCCCTTGCCGCCTTTACCGCGTCCAGTCATGTTGATTTGAGAGCTAGTCACAGAATGAACGCAGGGAACTGGGGGCATGAGTATTTATACCCGGCTCGGGAGCGGCGAACGCAGTGGTGAGCAGGGAAACGGGGGAGCCAGTCAGAACAGTCCGCAGCGGATCCGGTGATCCGCTAAAACCAAAAAATGTTTGAAATGTCGTGGATCCACTTTTGGCAGATGTTTTCTTTACACTATCTCTTTTCTTCAATATATAAGAGGAAAACTATTCCATAAACATGCTTATGGCCCTGAAAAGGGCCGTTTGGTTTAAAAAAAAAAAAAGGGAACTTAGGCCCTTTCTCCGCGTATACGCCTTGCAAGTTGAATATCTTTTGGCATGATAGTAACACGCTTGGCGTGAATGGCGCACAGATTAGTATCTTCAAACAAGCTAACCAAGTAAGCTTCACTGGCTTCCTGCAAGGCCATCACAGCTGAGCCCTGGAAACGCAGGTCGGTTTTGAAGTCTTGTGCGATCTCACGAACCAAACGCTGGAAGGGCAACTTGCGGATGAGCAACTCAGTACTCTTCTGGTATCGCCTGATTTCCCGAAGCGCAACAGTACCAGGACGATAACGATGAGGCTTCTTTACTCCACCAGTAGCAGGAGCACTTTTCCTTGCTGCTTTTGTAGCAAGTTGTTTCCTCGGTGCCTTACCACCGGTAGACTTCCTAGCAGTTTGTTTGGTACGCGCCATAGTAGAGACTGATGGTTGATGCAGGAATCGAGCTCGCTATATATACTCGAGAACGAATTCGTGCCTCGCCAGGATTGGTTGACGTGCGGATCCGGTGATCCGTTCGGTGCAGCGCAGCCTTGTTGCACTTGGTTTTTCCATAGCCCTTCGACTTTTGTATCCACTCGGGATACGGATCCGGGATGCCACGCGATTAATGACGTGCGGATCCGATGATCCATTCGGTAAAACCAACCATCATTCCTCCCAAAAACAAAGTTCGTTAATATTGCAAAGTTCGTTAATATTCCTAGCAGCGACGTCATGGATCATTTGCCCGTACCATCGTTGAATTGACACGGTATTTTTGGCACTTTCACAACGACATCATCAACAAGAAGACACAAAGACGTCGCCGTCATGCCAAACCCTGAAAAGGGCTGTTTTAGTTTCACAGCGGCGTGGAAAGAGAAGTTTCAAATAGGCGTCGTCGACGGAGTCTCACGGAGACGTCGACGTCGACAACGCAAACCAAACGTCCTGAAAAGGCCGTTTTAGTTTCACAGCGGCGTGGAAAGAGAAGTTTCAAATAGCGAAGTCTCATAGCTCACAAAAGGAAACACTGGATCGTTTTTTTCTCACGCGGGAGAAAGAAACTGGGACATACTGTGCGACCGCGCGGAAGTCGGCCGCTTTATATACCCGGAGGACGGACCTGGGCTGCCCTGTGATTGGTTAACACGCGATCCGACTATCTTTATTCTTATTGGTCGCAAGTGCCAACTTCGCAAGGAGCCAATCGAAAAGATGGATGCTGGATCCATAGACTTTACCTAAGTTACAATTGGCCAGCCAGGAACTCTGACCAATCATAACTCTTATTGTCGGATCCTATGATCCTTTTCTTTCAAGGATCATCGGATCTCAGGACAAGTGTTCTGATTGGTCAGACTTCTTTGCTGGCCAATTGTAAGTTATCCCAATGGGTACGGATCGCCCTTAACCCGGATTCGTCCCGGGTGGCGTCTACCCTATCACATTGCCTTCCATCGGATCCTATGATCCTTTTCTTTCAACAATCATAATTTCTTAAGGACAAGTGTGGGCTTTCAAGTCTCTTTTGGACTAGGTTTAGAGGCACAATATACCTCTTGGGTTTTTCCACCCAAGTTCTTCACACACTTTTTCTCAAGTGCATGATCACTTTAGGTTGTATGAAACCACAAATAATATCATGGCTTCATGTGAGTGCTTGAACTCATGGAAATATTTCCAATAGAAGCAGGTACTTTGAGAAGCAAGAGTACACTAGTAAGAAGAATATTCGTCTCACAAGAGATTTTATAGAAGTTTGGTTTGCCAGACCAATTCTTCCATCACTTGATAGGACACATGTTTAAATCAATTTCTTGAAATTGAAGGGAGTTGGAAGCACCTCCACTTTTCCAAGATGGTCTCAAAACTTCTATAACCATGCTCCAAGATGCACTCACTTCAATCAAAATCAGTGCTCCTGCCAGCACTTAGTTCAAACAACCACCTCACTTCAATATGAAAAATATTCCTCTCACAAGAGATTTTATAGAAGTTTGGTTTGCCAGACCAATTCTTCCATCACTTGATAGGACACATGTTTAAAACAATTTCTTGAAATTAAAGGGAGTTGGAAGCACCTCCACTTTTCCAAGATGGTCTCAAAATTTCTATAACCATGCTCCAAGATGCACTTACTTGAAGACATGCTAAGAAATCACCATTTGATTGAAGTCACTTTCCTCAAGAGTGACTATCATTCTGTGCTCCTGCCAGCACTTGTCCAAACAACCACCTCACTTCAATATGAAGTATATTCCTCTCACAAGAGATTTTATAGAAGTTTGGTTTGCCAGACCAATTCTTCCATTACTTGGACCTTTGAAAACCTCATCAGGTTTTCAAATTGAAGTATCCAACAAAGTTAGTTACTTCTTTCCCCCCAACCTCACAAGGAGGGGGGGGGTTATAAACCTTTGGTAAATCCACCCAAACCCAATATTTTTCATCAAGCACATGAATGCGCTTTGAATACTCAAACAAGTATCCCACCCTTCCCTTTCATCATATAACACTGAAATCCTCCAGTCTAGGGCTGAATCTCAACAGATCGCAGTTTGGTGGCTGCTCTACCGAGTACAATACCCTGACTGGTACTTGAGTCGTTTACAAACGGACAAGCATTCCCAACGCATAATCGCAATCATGGTTTCCTGCAAGAAAGACACCTTGAAGCTTGGTTTAAATAACCAAGACTCCAGGAGAAGCCTTCCTTGAGGGGACCTACAAGATTTAGAGTGCAGTCTCCCCAGTATGTGATACCAGTTGTAAAGACACCAAAGCACTCAGATAGTTTACCAACGTATCGTGGGATGCGAAAATATGGTCACATTGACTAGCTGAGATTCTGCCTTAAGAGGCCTTCAGGCATAATCTCTCGGATGGTAGCCTCGCTCCACTGGCCTCTCGACCAAGAACGTGTACCAAATGTCCAAACCTGCGGTTCCTCTCGTACTGCGCAGGATTCCTATCGCAACCATAAGTCATCAGTAGGGTAAAACTAACCTGTCTCACG